TTGATAAGAGGTAGGCTTGGATGGCAGAAACACAGAAAGGAATCATGCTTCTTCTTCATGTTATTTTAATACAGGTAATAAAGATGTTGATAATCAGAGAAACGGTGGCACATACCTGTACTCCCAGCACTTTGGGAGGCTGAGTCAGGAGATGGCAAGTTTAAGCCCAGCCTAGGCAACTTAGCAAGACCCTGTCTCAAAAACAAAAAAAATAAAATAAGGCTGGAAATGTAACTCAGTGAGAAGGCCCAGGATTCAATCCCCATACCACACACACACATACACACACACACACACACACACACACACACACACACACGCACAAAAGAAAAGAAGAGAATCTTCCCAGTGAGCTTCAATAAATGATCCTTTGCTCAGCAAATACCCAGTAGGCACAGATGACCAAACTGCGAACAACAGAATCTCAGTCTGCCTCCCATGTGAATCTCTCTGACACCTTCCCTTCTCTGGGAAGTCAGCTTTCATTCAGGCCCAGTTCCTTGCAGCAAACAGTAACGATGAATCTATGTTTCCTGAGGGCAGGCAGGAACAATGTCTGCCTGTGTGGACAAGGAAGTTTTCCAGGCGGAAAACCTCATGACCTGGATCCCAGAGGGCAAGAGGAGTGTACACTAATAAATGCATCACAAGATTTGAAAGTTGGCATGGTTCAAGGAGTGGCCTTGGAGATGAAGACACAGGAAGGGAAATAGTAAAAGGGATAGCTGCTGATAGCAGAAACCACCTTGATCCACAATCAAAGTAAGAAGGTTGAACTTTATTCTAAAGGCAATGGGAAGGCCAGAAGAACTGAAAAGGCAATTGACTGATGAACCCTTTTCAATCTATAGCACATCTAAAAATAAATTAACTCAAATCTTTCCCTAAACTTTTCACATTTGGCTTTTATTTTATAAATCATATATCTCAAAAGTACTTGTATCTAGAATATAAATGACTCAGCAATAAAAATGCAATCCATTAAAAAATAAGCAAAGCATCTGAAAAGACATTTCTCCAAATAAGACATATAAATACCAGCACCAATCATATGAAATAACATTAGGTATCTCTAGCCATCAGGAAAACATTAAGCCAAAACAACAATGATTACCAATTTATACTCACTAGGATGGCCAGAATCAAAAGACAGAGAATAACCAGTGCTGGTGAAAATGTGGAGAAATGGGAACTTTCAAATACTGTCTGTAAAAATCTAAAACAGTGCAGCTGCTTTGGAAAACAGTCTGGTAGTTTCTCTATGGTTAAACATTGAGTTACCATATGATCCAGCAATTCCACTCTTAGTAAATACTCAAGAAAAATGAAAACATATGTTCATGCAGCAACTTGTACACAAATGTGCATAGCAGTATTATTCATAAGAGCCAAACAAGGAAAACACCCAAGTCCCCATCAACTGATAAATGAATAAACAAAATAGGGTATGTCCATACAATGGGATATTACTCAATCATAAATATAATGAAGTACTATACATATTATAACATACATAAACCTTGAGAACAAGCTAAATAAAAGCTACATAAAAGATCACATATTGCATGATTTTATTTACAAGACATGTCCACAATAGGCAAAGCTAAGAAGGTAGATTAGTGGATGCTAGAACTGAGAAGGGAGAAAGGAGACATGAGATTGATAACAGGAACAGTGTTTCTTAGGGTGATGAAATGTGCTAAAATTGATTATGGTGATTAATGGCTGTACAACTCTGCAAATACACTAAAAACCACTGTACTGTAGGCTTTAACGAGTGAAGTGTAAGGGATGGTGACACATACCTGTAATCCCAGCACTCCAGGAGGAGTGCTTCTGCTGAGGCAGAAGGATCAAAACTTTGAGCCCAGGCCAGGGATTTAGCTCAGTGGTTTCCCTGCCTGCTGCACAAGTGCAAGGACTTGAGTTCAATCCCCAGTACCAAAAAAAAAAAGTTTGAGCCCAGCCTGGACAACTTAGCAAAACTCTGTCTCAAATTTTAAAAAGGCTGGAGGTGTAGTTCAGTGCAAAGGCCCTGGGCTCAATCCTCAGTTCCACAAAAAAATAAAAATAAACGAGTGAATTGTATGGCATATGAATTATATGTCAATAAAATTGCTATAAACAAAAAGATTCCATTATACATTATGGAAATACTAAGTGAGTGCTAAGAAAGGAGTATACAATAGAATCTTGTTCACTCACTTTAAAAGATCTGAACTAGGACAATGAAAACCCAGAGAGATTCTATTACTTAACATTCTAGGTACTAGGTCACAGTGAAATATTCATGAAGAATTCCATGTTTTAATATAAAAAAGGCAATTTAAGGTTAAAAAGATACACTCCCAAGTACCAGAAAAGTTTTCATGACTCAAGGACAGGCTAACACAGGGAATTCATTAAATGGAAAATAAGCCTAAGAGGTTTTATCACGTGGATTTGTACCCTGAATGTGAAAGTGACATTCATATTTATTATTACTCTAGCCCTGAAAAAAAGAGGTCAAAGGTGAAATAGTCCAATTAATAGTATCTGTTCCTAAAGTAAGTTGTGACAAATAAAAATATTAAGAAAGGAATATTCTGCCATCATGAAGAAATCAATCTTCCACATTCCCACTTACATAATTAGAACTGATAATTTATCATTTTGAACATTCCATCTCAGAGACATTAGAGTGACTCTCCTCATGGTTGGAGTAGATCCCAGAAGTGACAGATGTGTTAGACATAAAACTTACAACAAAGTAAAAAACCTAAGTATTTAGAAAATGCTATTCATCAACTCTGAACCTAATTTCAAATTAGACCTGGGTATAAATGTTGATTAGCACAATTTGCAAAGTAATAATCGTGAAAAATTCTATATTGTATGCAATATGTGTCTGTTAAAATTCATCAGGTTTGGGCCAGTATGTAGCTCAGCAGCACAGTGTTTGCTTGGCAAGTACGAGGCCCTGAGTTCAATTCCCAGTACAAAAAAAAAAAAGAAATCATCAGGTTTTAATGTACCATCCACAAGTAATCAAAACTACAAGAAGCAACTTTCTGGTTTTTGCCAAAAAGGTGTGTACTTGACCATATTTACACCAAATCTTTGTTCAATCCTCAGTACACATGACTGTCATCATCTACCACAAGACACCACACTTCCAGGCCTAATACACAACACAATTCTCCAGGGTTTTTTTACTCTTTCCCCCTATTTATTTATGAACTCTCTAAGATCTAACGCTTAATATTAGGCTTGCTCTCCAAACATTATGACTATGAACCAAACCTCCAAGCCCTACCCCCCAAAAAAGTTTTCTTAAATCAATTTTCTGAAATATATAGAATGAAGTCCAATATAGTTTAATCACTTCTTCATCTTTATAGGGACTGCATTAAGTGAATTTATATTACACAGATACTGTACCTATTTGCCTTCACAATTGAACAGACGATACAAAGCAAGTGCTTACACTTAATCATGTTTCTTTCTGTCTATTCTAGCAGGCCCTGGTGTAAGGACAGAGTTCTGCCGGATAGACAATGAGATGCCTATTTATATAGAGTGACTAAGAGTCCTATAAGTGCACTGTTTTAGGATGTAATCCCAGCTAGCAAGGCTGTAACGAGAGCTTAATATTTTGTGATAACTATTTCCATAAGTAAATATATGCGCCACCCGGTACCAGTTTATAAACACGCGATTGGATTCCTTCTAAATCCTTATAGAAGGGAAAAGCCTTTGTACTTTGCTATCCCGGGAGAGATGAACAACTTGCAATTTGCCTCTCACTCGGAATCCCACGTTGCAACATGTAGAGCAAGCACTTTAGACACCACAAAACAAGGGCAGCCTACATTAAGGCCAAATATAGGATGTGATTCTAAACCATGAAGCCGAAAAGCCTACATTTCCTTTTCCAGCGATCAAAACCCTTTGAACACTCCCAAAAAAGGACGGCAGGGCCAGCGCCTCCCTCCAAGAGGAAGCCCCTTTCTTCTGGGCTCTCCTCACGCCTACTACTTCCCCCTACACGTTCAAGTCGCTTGAGAGACCGGCAGCTGCTGTTGGGTGCGCCTGTGGGGACAGGCGGCAGAGCGAGGTTCCCGCATTTCCACCCTCAATGTCTGATCTCATCCTCAGTCATTTCGACGCAGCGGAGCCCCACCTGCACCTCGGTCCTTTTCACTGCACCCCTCGCTAGCTGTCCCGCTATCAGGAAAGCACCTCTCTGAATCATCCAGTTCATTCGAACGCCCCAGACCCCGCAGCGTTTCTGCTGGGTCCTTCCTCTTCCAACCCCTCGCCGCCACCACCACCCCCATTCGCCGGGCTCAGCCTCTTCCCAAGCTCACCCACCCACATCACTCCAGCTTGAGCCGTGCCCCCCCCCCCGCCTGGCCCCCAACCCCGATCTTCGCAGTCCGGAGAGGACTCGCACCTAAGGCCAGGCTACACTAGGCCAGGCGGCGGCCCCTGCCCTCCCACACAGGGCCTAGCTCGCCCCGGCCCCACGAGAGCCGGCCTCAGCCCACCCCCCACCCACTCGCTCCCTAGGGCGGCCAAGCCCCGCCCCCAGGCCCTGCGCCCTAGCAGCTCCTCGAGAAGCCCCTCCCCACCCAGCACCTCACCCCACTGGAGGCGGGTCCCCGACCCCTGAAAGGCCGGGGCAGCTGCGTCCCCACACGGCGGACGGCTCTTCGGGCCAGGAGGGGTCCGACCCCTAGAAGCCTCCCTGTGGGGATCCCGCCTCACGCTCCCCAGGCCGACTGGCCTGTGCCCAGCCCTTTCCCCGAGACCCTGAGCCTCCGGCAGCAGCCCCGAGCCCGAAGCCCTTGCACAGCGCCCAGGACCCGCGCCCGCGCGCCCACCCCAGCCCTTGCCCTCCACCCCGACCTGCCCCTCGCCCCGCCGGCTCCTGTCATCCGGCGACCGCACATGCTGAGAGAACAGGTCCGCCCGCCCGGCTCGCTCCCGAGCTGCCCCACCAGGCGCGCGCCGCTCACCAGGGCCGAGGTGCTTGAGGCGCTGCCGCTACCGCCGCTGCCCAGGTCCGCGCTGCAAGGATCAGCAAAGCCTCCAACCGCTGCCGCCTCCTGCCTGGCACTGGACGCCGCGCGGGGGAGGGGCGCGGCAGCCGCCACCGCCCCTGCCGCCGCGCGTAGGCTCCGCCCCCGCGCCGCGCCGCGCCCAACCAGGGCGGTGGAGTCGCGGTACTCCACGCCCACTTCCGGGAGGGCAAGCCCGCTTCCCTCTCAGCCTTTCACGCCTCCTCCTCCCTAGCGTCGCCTCTGGTCGCGCCGAGGCCTGCAAGAAGCCTCAGAGGAAGGCGGGTCCGAGCGCAAGCCCGGCTCTCCAGTGATTTGAGTAGCTGGGGCCACGCCCAGGGGCGCCTGAGCCACGCCCAGGGGCGCCTGAGCCACGCCCAGCACATTTTAGAATTTGAAACAGGGTTCCTAGAGCTCCGCCCACTGGCCTGCTTGGCTCTACAGGGCCAAGATCTCGGGCTCCTCCAAGATTTCCCCGAACACCTCAAGCCCCGCCCACTGTCCATCGGAGCCCTGAAGGCAGTCTCCTGGTTCCCTTAGCCCGGCTCCCCTCCTACTGCTTCAGAACTGGCGCCCTAAAACCCCGCCCTGATTTCCAGAAGCCCAAGGGCCGCAATCCTATTTGCCGCACCTCCGGCCCCGCCCACTCCCCCCGTCCAAAGGCTTAACCCCCACCCACCCATTCTCGAATCCCTGCCTCTGGCGTCCGGAGCTTGGCCCGGCTCCCCTCACACCCACCCACCGACACCTCTGGGGACTCCCAGCGCTCCAGCCCTCCTACCATCCCTGGTCGCATTCCTCGGACGAGTTGGCCGCCCTTGGGCCGGGCCACATCCGCGTAACCCCTACCCAAAGAGGGCCTGTAGTTGACACAATTTTGCAGGTGGAAAAGTAGAGCGTCTGAGCTTCCTCCTTTTCCTTTCGCTGGACAAAGTCCCTTCATGAGCGGGCAACCTAGACCTGAAAATTGGAGCACCAGGATAGAATTTCCACTTCTGCTGCTGTCAAGACCTGTGTCCTGAGCCTGGTGTGGTGGCACACATCTTTAATCCCAGCACTCAGGAAGCTGAGGCAGGAGGATCTCTGCGAGTGCGAGGCCAGCCTGGGTGGGCTACATAGTGAGTTGAAGACCAACCTGAACTACCTAGTGAGACCCTCTCTCAGAAAAAAAAAAAGATCTGTCACCTGAGGGCCACTCCCTCAACTTGGGCCCAAAGGTCTTAATTTGGGGGGGGGGTCCCTAATCTTTAGCGTGAAGTTGCCCAGTTAATACAGTTAATAGCCAAAGTCTCTTTCTGAAATACAGTACCAAGCTCTAAAATACCAAGATTTGCTGGACGTGGCAGCACATACCTGTAATCCCCTCAGGAGGCTGAGGCAGGAAGATTGCTGTGAGTTCGAGGCCAGCCTAAGGTACATAGTGAGTTGAAAGTCACCCTGAACTAATGATGAGATCTTCTCTCAAAAAACCAAAAAAAAAATTAATAATAATAATATAATAATAAAATAAAATACCAAGATTTGGCAAAACTGGTCCTGGGAAACTGACAGCAGGTGTGCTGAGAGCTAGTTCATCCTAAAGCAAGGCATCTTTGCAGTTGGAGGGCGGGGGGTTTCACTTTAAGCATCAACTCCAAAAATGTGTGTTAAGGAGGCTGGAGATATAGCTCAATGGTAGAGCAGGTGCATAGCATGCAAGAAGCTCTGGGTTCAATCCCTGTCATGCACATATGCATGTGCACGTGCACACACACACACACCCACACACACACCCAGCACACCAGCACCAGAAAGGAAAGACAGAAGAAAATATGAAAGAGAAAGAGGAGGGGGATGGGGGGAGAGGAGGGGGGGGGGCTTGAGGGGGGGATGGGATAAAATAAAATAAAATTTACTTTAAAAAGAGAGAGAGAAGGAGGGAGGGGGGAAAATAGAACAGCTGGACAAGATGGCTCTTGTCTGTAATCCTAGCACTGAAGGAGACTGAGGCAAGAGGATGGCAAATTTTAGTCCCAGCTGCACAATTTAAACCCTGTGTCAAAAAAGAAAAAGGTCTGGAGATGTAGCTCAGTGATAGAGCCCCCTTGCTTCCATCCCCAGTCTAGAGGGAGTTGTGTGTTAAGTAAACCAAGGTCCACCTGAACCAAAACAGCTTTCACAACAAGTTGCTTGTCCTCTCTAAGGCTCAGTTTATCTGTAAAATGGGGATAATAGCAGTCCCTCTCTCACGGCGCTCCAGGAGCTCAGTTAGCTAAGCACCTCTGACAGGGCCTGGCTGGAGATAAACAGCCCTACTTGCAGCTCCTACTACTGCTCCTGCTGTGGCTGACAGTATGAAGGGAGAGGTTTCAGTCTGTCCTCCAGCAGCAGCTGCTAATAGGAGGGACTCAGCACCTTTTTCTGGAGCAAAATTTGAATGAGATAAGGTGGGGTAGTTGCTAGTGTATGGTGACACTGAAAAACAATTTGTGATATTACGGTTCCTGACTTTAAACAAGAGCATCGATAGCAGTGGCTTGTGAGTGATTTTGGGAAACCAAAGATTGATAAAGTGCTTTGAGATGGAACTGGAGACCACTGACTTTTTGGAAACAGATTACAGGTGACATCACTTCCATATGCCAAGCGCTCCCTGAATGCCTTCCACACAAAATCATCCACAATCCTTCCAACAGCCCTTGGCATAGGAAGAATTCTTAATCCCCAATGATGAAGGCAAAGAAAGAGTCAGGGAAGTGAAATTACCCGAGGTCACACTGCTTGAACCAGGTAGAATCCACACGTGGCTATTGCAGAGTCTGCAGTTTTCACCAGTTAGTCATTACACCGAGCTGCCTCTGAGGCAGTGTGACAGAACACCTTGGACTTTGGATTCTGACACTCGTGTGTGTAAATTCAGGCTGAACTGAGTCACTGTGTGATGTAGGTGAGTCAGTTTCCCTCTCCGGGCCCTCCTTTGCTCCTCCATGTAGTGGGACTGTGTAAATGCTTACTTCAGGGAGATTCAGAAGTTTGAGGGCGGGGTTGTTTTGTTTGTGGTGGTGTGGCTGGCACCCAGCGCCTCTCACATACTACGCAAGCACTCCATATCTCCAACCCCAGGAGTTTTTATTTAATAAATTAAGGCAGGACAAAATGTCTAGCGCATAGTAAATGCTTACAACATGTTGGTTCCCTTCTCCCAGTTTTGGTGGTGGTGGTATTGTTTGTTTCACTGCTAGAGATTGAGCCCAGGGCCTTTGCACTGAACTACACACCTCCAGCCCTTTTTATTTTTTATTTTGAGACAGAGTCTCCCTAAATTGCTAAGTTGCCCAGGCTGAACTCAAACTTGCAGTCCTACTGCCTCAGCCTCCCAGAGTGCTGGGATTCCAGATTTATTCAACCAAACCCAGCTTCCAGTTCTTCACATGATTGAATTAAGATTCCCAATGACCTAGATTCCCCCAGGTGACCCCACCATAAAGCACAGGTGGAATATGCTGAGATAAGATCCCAAGGACTTTGCCTTCAGTTTCCTGTTCGATTCTTAGTTTTATTCCTGAGTTAGGGGAGAAGATTCTTGTACAGGAAGCATCCTAGAAGCAACTCTTCCCTCCACATCAGCTCAAAATGTGGCTACCTGAAGCCAGGTGTGGTGATGCATGCCTATAATACCAGCACTTGGAAGGCTGAGGTAGGAGGATCTCTGAGAGTTTGAGGCCAACCTGAGCTACATGGTGAGTTCAAGGCTGACCTGGAATACATAACAAGACCCTGTCTAACCAAAAAAAAAAAAAAAAAAAGTGGCTACTCCCACAAACAGCCAGAAAATTGAATTAACTCTTTGTTAGAAGAAGATACTATCATTGCACTGTTCTTGAATCTACACCAACTCTTTTGAGGCCCTAAAGGAAACTGGCTGTGTACAAGCTGGAGGGATTCAGATCTGGGTAAAATGCTGAATTGAACAGTGTTTTCCTGGCTGAACATGGTGTTATATGCCTGTGATCTCAACAGCTAAGGAGGCTGAGGCACAAGGATAGCAAGTTCAAGTTCAGCCTGGACAACTTAGCAAGACCCCATCTCAAAATAAAACAAAAAGGGCTGGGGATATAGCTCAGCACTCCCTAGGTTCAATCCCCAGTAACAGAAACAAAAGTGTTTTGCCTGGTCTCAAAATCTGGTTATTCCTAAAAGTGACAGATGTTAGATAGAGAGGAATTTAATGATCAGGAAAAATAAAGATGACTCCAAATCTCACACACAGATGCTGACCAGCTTATGTAGGAATTGTGGGGCCTGAATCCAAAGACTTCTTAGCAAATCATTTTCCTGATGTCTCTCAGTACCAAAAGGGGACATGTGTCTTAGGTTGCCAGGGCAACGTGGAAGCTGATGAATTAGCCCTGTGGAAGCATTAACAAATAATAATAATATTAAATAGATGAGAGACTAGAAATCCCGAGACTAATCTTGCTAGACCAGTTCTTTAATTGACTGATAGAAGAGAACAAAGCTTATAGAATATTAAAATTCACCTTACACTGATAAATCTTGCATTCACCAAAGTAGGGGCAGGAAAAGTGCTGAATGATTAACAGGTTACATATGGGAGGCTGATGCTTTTCCCCCTAGTGCTGGGGAACAAACCCAGGGCCTTGTACTGCTAAGCACATCCTCTACCACTGAGCTACACCCTCAACTCTAGATGCATTGGGGGGGGAGGTACCAGGGATCAAGCTCAGGACCTTGCTCTTGAGAGGCAGGCACTGGAACCACTGAGCTAAATCCCCGGCCCGTTTTTTTGTTGTTGTTTTTTTTTTTGAGACAGGGTCTCACTATGTAGTTCAGGCTGGTCTTAAACTCACTGTGTAGCCCAGGCTGGCCTCAAACTTGGACCAATCCTCCTGCCTCAGCCTCGCAAGTACTGAGATTACAGGTATGCACCACCACCCACAGCCCTGTATGTGTTTCTTAATTAAAATTTTTATTTTGGAAGCCAAGCATGATGGTGTACACCTGTCATGCCAGCACTTGGAAGGCTGAGGTAGGAAGATCACCATGAGTTCGAGGTCATCTTCGACTGTATAGTGAGTTCAA